ATGACTGCTGTAGCTGAACCCAGGACACCGTTCAAAGAAATACGCCCGAAGTTTACAACTTCACTGCAGCCTATGAAAATCTATCTTTCATAAGAATAGAAGGGACCAAACTTATACAAAATCAAGCAAGCAGTTAAGAAAACGCATTCAGAAAATTAATTAAGGATATGAAAAAAAATTCATGATTAAAAAAAAACACATAAACTTGCTACCTGCTTGTTATAAATATTGGCTGCAATCCTTTTGCGTAATACCAGTTCCATTGCAGCAGGATGGCTGAGCTGCACAGTAGTCTTCACTATTAAGTAAATTCTCTCGTTTTGAGGAGTTACCCTATTCAGGTGCACTGAATCATGGACAGAAGAGTCCCAAGCAGCAGTGGCTGAAACCTATGCAGAAAAACAAAGCGGACAGAAAGAAAGGGAAATCAAAGATTCAACTACTCTAACAATAGACTTAATTTGCAATGATTTAACATGAAGTAGAACAACTCTTTCATGAGACAAAAATAAGCATCATTGAACAAAGTGGAGTCAAACTCCCTTTTCACAACAAGGAATTTATCAGAAGCAGCATAATAAAGGTATTAAGATACCGGGAAAAAACATCATGAACACGATCCCTGCACTGTGCAAATCCTGCCATGAAAGGAAGCCTTCACACAGCTGGAGGCAGAAAGGAAAGCAGAACCAAGACTGGAGGAAGGAATACAAATCCTATTGCAAATGTACTTAAATTTAGTAGAATTCATTGTTACATCTTCCATCTGTGTTGGATTAGGTTATAGAGACCAATACAGAACAAACATGCTCTCATCCTGCAGAATACCTTTTTTCTTCCCTCTTCCTCCTCCCCAACTTCAGCGTCCCATTTATTCTGGAAAAGGTCTTTTAAGCAATGGCCTGAGTTGGCACAGGATATGAAAGAAACCAGTTAAGAAATTCCAAGATGGGTTCAAGCTCAATTTGTTTCCATCAATTCCCAAACTTTATGTTAAAAAAAGTAATTGTGTACTACAAAAGAAAAGGTTTTATTTAAATATTAGGCTTTGCCTAGTGTGCTAACAAATGAAGTGGCTTTCTCTGAAGAATCAAGAGCCTCCAAAAGGAATGATGAAGGGGTAAGGAAAGAAGAAAAAGTGATTTTGAGTCAGGGAGCTGAATTATTCTTTTGCCAAGAGCAGCTAAGACTTGTTGCCTCCAAATTAAGGCAGAAGACCTAACAAGTCATACTTTCTTCAATTCTAAATAAACAGGCCAGAAAACAAAGGCAGCACTAGATACAGATAGTACTTCTAAGACAAAAAGATAATAATAATCATAATGATTAAACACATACAAGTAGAAAATCAAACATAAAAAGAAATTAAAACAAACTGTAGTTGTCAAGAAGGAGGCTTGCTAACTGTTTACCTCATCATCACTGTGTTTTATGATCGGCAGATAAAAGAATGGACTCCCATGCTCCTTTGGTAGTATTGAGTTAACTCCTGATGCATGGGGACCTATAAGTTGTTCATTGGCACTGAGGTCATCAGCTAATGAAACAAATGTGCAAAGAATGACATAGTTTTATACCAAATGATATTAATATATAGAGGCAAAGTTGTAATACAAAGCTGTAACAAAGTCCTACTCATATTTCATAATACATTTAATCCTGATTAATCTTCTTATTATGCAGTCCTTTGAATACTACTTCAGCATACAAAAGAAAGGAAGTAAAACCAGGCTAAGACTCAGCAGAACACATTCTCACATAACCTAAACTGAATTTAAAACTGTTTCTAGGTATTCATAATGTTAACATCCTCAGCCAGAAAACTTCTGATTTATCCACCTAACCAGCTCATCTCTTAGTTAAATCACTTCTGATGTCTCAGGAAATATTTAAAACAAGAATAGCAGTTCTGGCTACATCAGGCTAAAAGCTAAAAAAAAAAAAAAAAAAAAAAACCAACCAAAAAACACAAAAAAAACCCCGAAAACGCAAAAAAACCCCAACCAACCAACCAACCAAACAAGTTGTGCAATGATCCATCATCTAGTTAAATATCCTATTTGATCTTCTGTCCGCTAATCTCTCTTGATAATGAAAAAAAACCCAAATAAGAACATTCCTTGTGAGCACAGATGAAGGAAAGAGTATACATAATTTTCCAAAAGCAGCTTCAAAAGCAGGTATTCATGTGTTGCCTATATAAACACATCTGGCAGCCCTCACTGCAGTGCTGGATGTGACAAGGCTTGTGGATCCTCCTCTGCTTTATGCCCCAAGTTTACACTTAAAGACTTGCTTCCTAAACAGTCCTTAGATAGCATGCAAACTCTAGTTTCTTGTTGCTTACAATGTGTATCTGTGTCTTAAGAATACACATGAATACATATGAATAGCCTTCTCACATGTAAAACTAAATACCTTCAAAGGGAGAACATTTAGATTCTCTAACAAAATCTTAACACACTCTTCATTAAATCAGCTGTTTAAGACTCCACAGCTACCTCAGTAGGAGGAGGTCTGAAAGCACTGGGAGATTCTCCATCAGTGCTTTAATGACACGTGGATTTGTACATCAAAATGTTTACAGGATTTTCTTATCTGCTGCTTGATTTAAACTAAACTTGCTTTCTTACACAATTTTCTGTTGTATAGGCTATACTTCACTCACACGTTCCCCAATTTTTATCTTTACTTTCAAACAGTTGTACATGATTATTCCAACATACAGAATCAGAATTAAAAGGCATTTTACAAGCCATATTAGACAGTGCCATTGCCAGGACTTGTTTGGTTTCACACATTTCAGATTCATTCTTCCGCTTATTAATTTCCCCCCATCCCAAGTTTCTTAATCTGCTGTTACAACATACCATTCAAATCAAGGAAGAGGACGGGTATATGTGTTTCCATTCCTGCAGGTGGAATCCTGAAACAAAACAAACTGCTGGGAACAAGGCAGGCAAATTCATACCTAAGCTAATTTGGGCAAACAGATCTCAATGCAAGATTCATCAACTGTAATCAATGACTAAAGCTGTCAACATTTTGATGGCTAATCTGAATGCCTACGTTGCACAGACAATATTTTGTTTATCTACACTTGCAGCTGAATGTAGTGCTTTGCCAAAACTCTATTCAAACCACACAGCACATTTCAGTTGCTGCGAGTATGACAGTTTTAAACATCCTGTTCTGTTTCTCATAAAGTTAACTGGTTGTAGTCATCTCAGTCATAAGGGTTAAAGAACTTTATGTCAATAAATACCCTTTTAGATATATGATCACGGCACACTTCAGGTGGATAATAGGAAAAAATGGCAAAGAAAGAGTATCACTAAATCATTCATCCAATTAAGAAGAGAGATTAGGTATTATCAGAATCATCAGTGTACACTTGATTAGAGTTGTATTTCTTGTCCACACTTTCCCAAATCCAGTACGTTGCATTCCTCATTTTTGCATGTCTTTTCCAATGATCTTAGTTAAAACACAGATTTAAATGAAATTAAGAGCAATGTATTAGAAATTCAAATGAAACGGAAGAGAACACGTCCTTTGAAATCAGAATTTCTTTCCTCCCCACTCCTTATCAGTGGAGTTCTACCATTCATTTCTGAACCACTCCTTTTCTGAAAGGAGTCAAACTACAGGATAACTTTCTCAGATTTTTGTAAAATTATAAAATACTATGTTAAATTCAAAAGTGATTTTCAAACCTTGAAAGCTATCTCAAAGCTACTTTATGTACTACGTAAACTAAGAAAACCTTTCTTACATTTGAGCCAGCATCTGACCTTCTTCCAGCCTTCTGCCTGCTGGGCATAATTCGTAGTATTATAGAAAAACATGGCAAGCTCTAAAACATCATGAGATTTTTACCTTCTTATGTGTAATGTTCAGGTGGAGAAAAATAACCACTCCAATGGTTTCTCTGAACATACCAATTTGCAGGGGCACCGGGAATTCCACTGCCTGGTGCTGGAACAAACACCGCGTTCCTCTCTTCCGTCAGCCCTACCCACTGTTCGACCAGCCGGGCTTCTCGTTCTAGATCATCCTCTGATTTTTCTACAGTGAAAGAGATTACTGGTATATACGAGACAGATGTTTCATGGTATAGAGAATAAGGGACGACAGGATTTTTAAGCTTCAAACCTTGTTTATTGCTGATCTTTTGAATCTGCTCATCTAAGTATTCTCTGCGTTTTATCAATGCATCAGACCACCTGTCTCGCACACAGTTTAAATCTTCTTCCTAAAATGGAAGGAGAAAAGAAAGTCATGAGGCTACATTGTTAAGATTAAAGGGCAGTGAATTTTGTGATAATTTCATCAGTATTTATATTTAACAGCTTGCATGATGCAGAAAATTTTTTCCCCCTGAATGACATGCACACTGATTAAGTACCTCATCACCCAATGAATGGAAGCTTATTTGCTTTCAGATCTCAAATTCCAACAGAAGAAAAAGAAAATGTGACTGCCTTAGTTGCTGAATAGAATTATACACCATAGGCTAATTACTCACAGAAATGGCAATCAACCTTTTTAATCGCATATGGAATAGGAAAAAAAGGTATCAGCTGATCGTAAGTTCTCCTGAAGATTAGACAGGTCAGTACGCCCTCAAACCTGCACAAAATTCCATTGCTAGCAGCTGCCATCAGTGCAAGCAAAAGATTTCTCATGCAAACAAAACCCATCATGCAATCATGCTTTGTGGTATCACAGAAAATCAGGTTCATTCTTCTCTGTGATATGTCAGGAAGCGCATAAACAGCCCGCAAGAAGTTAGTACCTTGATATTTTTGAGATTGATGTAAAACCTAAAACCTTGTCTGAAGGGATGTCAGCATTCTCACCTAACTGGTTTTATTTTCATAAGGCTGCCTATTAGAAATAAGTCTGAAATGTGTTTTATTTTTTCAGGCATTTCCTCTTCTGCCCTTTGTCGCTTCTTAGATGAGTATGCGGTTATACAGTCTAACCTGTGAGTGTCTAGTATTTATTTATCACAAAAAAAGAACAGGCTCAATGTTTGGTTTTGTTTACATAAAAAAAAGGAATTGCTTCACTGAAGTGTCTGTATTCTCCTTCCTGGCATCTTCCCCTCTCTCTCCTACACGCATTTCAGAAAACTGCACAACTTAAAAGAGGTTACGATGTTTTCTTTAGAAAAACAAACAAAAAATCCTATGCTGTATAATTTGGTTGGGAAGGATGCCTGCAGCTGCAGGTGGCTGTAGCTTTCCCTGTGATAGTCACTGGAAACTTTTCATTCTATATTAGTTTCTAAGCTTTTATTCACATAGGAATTCATGTAGCCAGTTAGGAGAGCTGACTGCTAAGTACTAGAGAAGAGCACGCACTGCAAGAGTATAAAGTCACAAGGTAAACTGAAATAGCAGTGTTTATATAGCCCAGGTAGCCTCTTAAATAGCAGATATGTATCTCAAAGCCGCTTTTGCTTGCTCCAGTGTGCTTGCTCATTTGAAAGTTGCTGGCTATTAGCATTAGCTGTGCCCCATGCCACAGGATTGACAGCAACAGCAGCAATACCTGGTAACTATCCATATCACCACCATCATCCTCCTCCTTCTGGTAGGAGAAAATAAATGTTGTAAAACACAAAACAACATGCATTTCTCTCAAAAGAAACTCACACAAATACCCCAAAACACGAACACTATCACTTTTGCCACAAACTTGTAGAATGTTAAAATTACAACACTCAAACAAAGTCTTATTAACAGGTAGAAACAGAATTTTTTTTCATTACAGGCTATAGCAGCACAGACATGATTTGAGTGTTAGTCAGTATATTTAATAAAAAAATTAAATTAATACCTCCCCCCAAATACATAGCCAGAAAAAGGACTGAGCAAACATATCACCAATCTTCAAGTTTTACTGTTTCATCTGTATTTAAGGTTATAATTGCTTGTGGTTCTGAATGTAACACTTCTGACAACAGGCGCCTTGCTTCCCTGGGTGACCCATTCCACATGTTCTTTGTCATCACTGTTAACATCATGCTTTAATTCCAATATGAATTTGCCCGGTATTGAAGCTGAAGTCACTTATACTCCTTAAGGACTTTTTCTGCTACATGAATTAGCCCTTTCACATTCAACGATGTCTCTTTTTGATTCTGATCAAGTAACTCAGCCTTCTTGAAAACGTAAATAATACCTGACTATAAGACGTTTTTTCTACTAATTTACTTTTTTTTCTGCTTTTCTCCTCCTCAGCTTTCACCATCCTTGTAAGGGAGGGAAACTAAAATTAATTACCTGTACACATAAAGGTAAAAATACATATTCCTCCTGCTTATATATATTCAAATAGCACACTTGGTACTTTATCAGTTATACACCTAACTATATATGCAGGAAAAAGAAGCAGATTTAGTGCCTTATGCTCACATTTTATGTAGGAAACTCAAACGTGTAAAACTGCAAAATATCATGTACCAGTGTGCTGAAGCCCCTTTTGGAATTATGTTTTCAAACCAAATTGAAAGAATAACTGTCTTACCTGGTAGCTGTCCAAGCCCCTCTGCAGTTTGGTTGATCTGGCAGTCACACCACCTATAGAGACTGAAAGAATTGCTTCTACCATGAGAGGCAATGTTCCTGAATGTTGGACGGGTTTCACCGTCACCTGAACTCTGCGAGAATGACCCTGAACAGGTAATTGAGAGACAGAAACAGAGAGAAAGAAACAGAGATAAACTAAGAATAAAATGAAGAATCAGTTTTAAGCCTGAATAAGAAGACAGGGAAAAGATACATACCTGTCTAAGCTGGAAAATTCCCCCTGTGTTAACATCTTTTGCCTGATGGAGTTCAACTGCAGTATATTCTCCCATCTCATTCAATTCTTGTATGGAAATCCACATTTCTATTCTTCGAGTTACTTCATTCCATCTACAACGACATCCCCAGAAAAACTAATGGTTGCCTTGCCAAGGTATATTTTGTGTACCACAAGTATTAGAAAGCCTTTGGAAAGATGATGGAAGCATTCCTGGGTAATTTGTTTGTACCTGTCTCTCAGTGTCCTAGTTTTAGCATGAAGAGAATCAACTTCCCAAACAGAGCTGCCATTGCCAGTACATCTGTGACCCCACACCTCAATAGCAAGAGCTCCTTCTGAAATGAACTCCAAAAACTCCTCTGTGACATTCACCACATAGTCCTGGCAATAAATAAAAACAAATCAAATGAAATAATTCTATCTCCTCACCTAGCTTGCAAGGACATACCCAACAACTGACTCCTGTATGGTAAAACTATACAGTTTGGATCACAGAGCTTGACTCTAGTCAAGAAAGTTGTGAAACATCACCTCAGTGATTCCTGCTTCTGCATACTGTGTTTTATTCATTGAAAGTTTCCATAAAGCAATACAGCTCCAATGATCTTTAAGTTACTGAGCTTATCAAACAAGTATATAGTAAGATGGCACTACATAAACTATAGTTTTTCCCATGCCTTAGAGATGACATCTGAATTTAAAAGACCACTATTTAAAAGATTTTTTCATTTTGTTACATTTTGAAGTGAAGTGAAATATTATGGCATTCCAAAGTATAGTCAGAAGTCATTAGTTACATGACTTGATTCCCTCCTTCTTCCCTCAGCAAAACAAGGCTCAGATTCTAAATAGCTTATCTCAAACATACCATCCTCTTGGTAACACTACATAATAATAACAACAGTTACCTTGCAGTGAGAGAAGGTCACTGTAAAATGAGCATCTTTGCTCTGAGGTGAAGGCACATCTGGATCTACCACTGGTGCCACTACTGTAGACTCACATTGATCCCAAAATGTATATTGACAAAAAACAAAGTTGGAGAGATTAGGTGGCAGTCCGGTTGCTTCTTTTATTTTTACCTGAGGAGACAAACAGATGTTGTCATATATATGACTGTTTTTCTTCAGTGGTAAATTGTACAAAAACTAAATATGTAATCCCAAAGTACCAACAGCCAAGAAGTCTCTTTCCTCTTCAGAGAATTTTAAGCAAGTAATAGCTTACATTGCTTAGTACTTTACATTGGAATGGCTACAGAGTTACAAAGGTCTGAAACTGTTAACTTCATCATGTGTTCTCACTTACCCTGCAGGAGAGCTTTTTTGCTCTGTGAATAATTTCTCCATTGTTATCCATGACTTCCAGACTCCCACTCTCACTGGAGTTCTCTGATGAATCATCTCCTTCTCCTACACGTTCTGGGACAGACCCCGTAACTCGCATTACTTCAACATGCAACCGTCCTGCAACCTAAGGCAAGATAAATACTGTGCACAAGGGACTCAAGACATTAAGATGGTAGATAAGATTAAGATGGACTCTACATTAGGGACTCTAGTGGTAGGACAAGGGGTAATGGGTTTAAACTTAAACAGGAGAAGTTTAGATTAGATATAAGGAAGAAGTTCTTCACAGTGAGGGTGGTGAGGCACTGGAATGGGTTGCCCAAGGAAGTTGTGAATGCTCCAACCCTGGAGGCGTTTAAGGCCAGGCTGGACAGAGCCTTGGGTGACATAGTTTAGCGTGTGGTGTCCCTGCTCATGGCAGGGGGGTTGGAACTTTCCAACCCTAACTATTCTATGATTCTATATCTAACTCTAGCAGGTATTTAGAGACAGAACTGGACAACTCTCAGTCACCAAATGAAAAGTAACCATAGCAAAAAAGAGAAGAAAGGAATAAAATATTTATGTTCAGAATTACTGAACTTTTTAATTCATGCACAACAGAAAAGGTGTACTGTACTTCAAAACCTTAATGTGCCAGGTTTTGCTCAGTTGCCTACATTAATACTAAGAATTTCATTCTACCAGCTGGGCAATTGTAAACAATTAAACAGAAAACACACACAGCAATCTGTAAAACAATTTTTCACTGGGAAACAAGGCAGTAAGCATCACTTGCTTGTTATAAAAAACACAGTGTAAAGTCTTCCAGCACAGAGGGTGCCCACAGAGGTAGGCCCAGCCCACCATCCACTCACCTCTCCTTGCTGGCTGATGATGGGCACAGCATACTGCAGCTTAACATCATAGAAAAGGCACTCCAGAAACACGTTGGCCACACCAATTAAGTTGTGGTTCTCCTGTGCTTCATAAAAAGGATCACCCCTTTTGCCAATCAGCTTCCTGATCTGTTTGAAGGATTGTAAAAGTTATGTCAGAAACTGTAGGTGTGAGAACACACACCCAAGTAACCATACAGTATAAGATCATGGCACAAAAATCAAGTCACTACCAATCTTTTCTGTTCCTTCCTGTTACAGAAGTAGAAAGAGACTAGAAGCATATCACAAGTCTGAAATTAAATCTTTGAGATGAGCCATTATACAATCCTTTATTCATGATGATATATAGTAATAAGATGACCTACATTTTTTAGTGATGTCAAGACAAAGCAGATTTTACCATGAGCAAGCACAATAGCCACTGATTTCACTAACTTTCACCTTACTTTCCTGCTCTGCTTACAGTTTTTAAATGAGAAGACAAATCATCCCCAAGTTGAACAGCTGGTCTGGCTGCTGGATACCACTACAAGGGCAAAAGGGAAGGTGCAGAATGACTCCCACTTAGGCCTGTAAGCGTTCTTATGGCTCCCACAGAGCTCACATCTGCAGCATTTTTTACGCAAGTACCCCATACACAGCCACAAAGAAATCATGCAGATTCCTAGCACCATAGGCATTCCTCAGTGGGCTTGTTAGCTCCTTCCCTTCTCCATCTTCAACACATGCATTCGACCTACATGTTTCTATGTAGCACATAGAACACATGCATCATGGATGACATAGGTCATGGCAAGGACAATCCTGGCTCAGGCAGACATAATTCAAAGGATGCGCTATCAGTTCTTACTAAAGTCAGCAGCAAAATCATCGTTGTCTTCAATGGGCACAGACGAAGTGCTTGACCTCCCCTGTGTTATGATTTTAGAGACTCCCATTGTCCCGTCCAAGGCATGTAACAAAGGCACAACAGCTGTTCAAACATACTTGAGAATGATTCTTGATACAAGTAATTTAGGTGCTCCCCATCAGCCACAAGACAGCAAAATATACTTCCTGTGCACTTCTACCTGGATACTTACAGGACATTTTCTGGAACACTAAATCTTGCCAGTAAGCAAGCAAGCTTTTGACAAGTCTTATACTACTTTGCTGAGGCTAACACGCTACTTAAATTCCTTGGAAATGCCACTTAGTTTGGATGGAGATACTGATGTAGACTAAGTATCTTTAATTGATCTCTTGCCTGCTTTAAGACTGGGGGACATTGAAATGAAATTACAGAATGTTTCACATTTTAAGATCAAGTTCTACCCCACTAAAACGTACAACATCTTAAAAGGGGTTAAAAGAAAACAAAGTCTCTGATCCCTTTCAGAAAATATATACAATACCTCAGGAATTTTTTCCTTCCACTCTTGATAGACGTCTCTCATGTCAATCAATTTGTTCTCTAGTTTCTCAATGGTCCACACTTGAGTACCTTTGCCTTTTCTTCTCACTTGAATAGCAGGCTCACTTACTATTGCACCCCTCTAAATCAGAGGGAAAAAACAACAATCACTGCAGGAAAGGTGTATGTAAGAAGTTTAACTCTTCTCTCAAACTGCACTCCTAAAAAGGAATAAAATGCTGAAAATCTGGCTCTCCGCATGCCAGCCATACTATCTCTGTCCTCAAATACAGCACACCTTATACACCCTTAAGCATCCAGACCTCTTTGTCCTTCTCAGACAACTACTATTCACAGAGGAACATTAGCGCTCTCAATAAAATCACTTACGACAAGCATATTAACCTAATTGCTATCATTATGTTTACAGCAGGACTACAACTAGAAAAGCCTTAGGACAAAAAAATTGCAGGTATCTAATAAAACCCAGTAATTTTTGCAAGCATAACTAAAATGCAGGTTTTACAGCAACAGAGCACAAATGTCTGTTGACAGATCGCATGTGCATATGGTGATCATACACGTGAAAGAACAGCAAAAGCCATATTTAGTGCTCTGTTCCCATTTTCTTTTGAAATTATTCACTTCAAATATATTAAAGTCAGGTAGCACTCATATTTTGCCTATGCATAATCTAACAAAAATAACATATGATAGCCTCAAGTTAGATGACTCTTCTATATGTCTACATATCTTAGATCAGCCACAAAACTACATTTGCCAGGATTTTTTGTTGTCATTACCTTCTTGTTGGCACTGAGGTTTTCAGCAGGGATCTGAAGTGTTACTTGGTAATCTGTTAGCTTATTCAGTTCTTCTGCTAAGAAGTTTGCTTCTCTCACCAGTGTATTCGCCTTTACTATCTGCTCTCGAAGTTTAGCCAGGCTCTGTCGAAACAATTCATCCCTGTGGTGCAGTAGGTAACATGAAAAATACACAGAAACCTATTTCTATTATTGGAAAGCTGCAAACAGAGGTGCTAACAAAGACTTTTATGAAACAAGCTTAAGAAGAAATCCTGTATAGAACTATGTCAGCAAACACGAAACAGTGTCAGACAACTTTATTGAAGAAAAGCAGTGATCACATATTAAACGAACATGACTGCTGAGATGAGTCTAGCACAGTAATGCCCAAATAAAAGGGCACAGCTCTATGGAAGCTGTTAAAATGACGATTTGTTAAAAGCCCTACGGACGTTCCTAATTTTCAAGAAACAAAATAATTGCAGCTGTCTTTAATCCGGAGTCCTGTTCCACAGAAACTACCAGTCCCAACATGTGAGACTTCATCTTGATAAAATCTGCTTTTCCTCAGATCGTGATGTTGGAACCTGCAATCACTGCATGCCACAGCTTTACATCACAGCTAGGTCTGCAGTGCAATAGACCCCCAGAGCTCCCTGCATATAGTTAAGCCATCTCAAGTGTACCCATTAAGATTATTTAAGTCCTATATACCCGAAGTACTTTTTAAGTAATAGATGGAGAAGCACAAGTTAAAGCTTTTGCGCTCTGAACAGTTACTAGTATCTGGAGAAATTCCAAAGAGGTTTCTAAGGCCTGTTTGAGCAAATCTGTTCTAACATACCAGCTGGCAAACCTGCTATGACACATACTATACCTCTACCTGCGATACTAAGATACACTCTCACCTGGAATTCTCATCTTTAATTTGCCTTTTAAAAGTATCACAATTATCCTCTGAGCAAATGCAAAGTCCCCCTTTCTGCCTTTCTCTGTAATCCCAACAGCACTTCCCATGCCTCATCATCTTCATAAAACTCATGATCAGTGACCTGCACTCCCCTGTACAACTTTTTAGCTTTTCTAAGTAAAGTCCTATTGAAATACAGCACATTTTGTGCAAATCCACTTCTCATATCTACAAAACTCACTATGGACAAGCGTAGGAGGACCAACTAAACTCATAGGCCTTGCTGTGAATACAGGCAAAATTTGCCTATTTGTCTTTATTCAGGTAAGCTTAGACCTTTTGTATGTCTTTATAATACCAACTGCAAACAACAAACAATTAATGTGCCTTTCTGTCCCCAACAGAATTCTCCTTGAGTGGTTATCTTTCTTTAAAACATCTCCAACAGCAGCCTGGGTAATTTAAATTGCACTCTGCTGGTTCCCTGATACCATGCCAAAGCGGTAAATGACCAGCAGTGTTAGTAAGCAGCCCTGAATTTTAGTGCCTTCGACATGCTATAACATGCAGCTTTGTTTCGCTCCCCTATCTGGCATAAGTTTGCATCAGTGTGGGTTTTGTTGGATCTGAAATAACTGCTACTATCAGCAGATTTTTAGTCCACTTCCATATTTGCTCCTGGCATTATATGGGAAATTCCTTTCCCGCTGCCTCTTGCTTCTGTTATCCAAGCCATCAAGATTAAATGAGCAATTCCAGACCATGGGAGTGACACATTCTACAGACACCTATAATTTTGGATTCACCCAGAAAACAAAGGCAGAGTCAAGAATTACTCATTAAATAGTACTTAATATTGAGAGCGCATTACACCTGCAACCACTGTGAGACAGCTGCCTAGCTTGAGAAACAGAAGGCAGCTTTGATCTGTAAGTGCTGCAAGATCCATGGGATTCAGCTATAGCCAGTCACCCTTCCATGATCTGGGACACTGTCATCTGGTGAGTTTTGTGGGGAGACTCCCACACCAATCTCAGCTAGATTCTCAAGAAAGGAATAGTTTAAGACTATAAGGAAGACTTATGAGTAACTCAACCAATTAGTATGGGTAGTTCTCACTATGGTTATGGTTTTTTACATATAGCTGTGCCAGCACCCTTCCAAAAACTTCACTAAAAAAAAAAAACCAAAAAAAACCCAAACCACTGTTTCGGATAGTATTTCCTAATTCTTACTGCATAAAACATATGATGAGCTCCATTAGCATATTAACCAAAGCAAATACCCACTGAAAAATGAAATCCTGAAACAGTCGTTTAAGACAAAACCAAAGGAAACTTAATCTGACACTCATGAGGTACCATTGCAGGTCTCTGGGATTCTTATGCCAAATACAGAATACGCTGAAATAAACCTCTACTGCAGTACACCCTGTCTACCCCCCTCACCTCAATAAATTCAGTTTGTTCAAAGTTACAATGGGTTAACTTTATGCCAATAGGTTTTAACACCAAGTCAGATATCATCTGTCCTTCCACAGTCAGCATACAGCCAGAATAAACTCTGTGCAGTGTGTTCTAGCTGATCTGACAGATACAACCATGTGCCTCCTACATCCGATACCTATCAAATTAATTTTGCTGGCTGATCCAGTATAGCTCAGCTTCATTCGCAATGGCAAGAGAGCAAGAACTAAAACTGCACTAATCAAATCCCATGCAATCCAGTCACTTGGCTCTTTTGTGCATTCTTCACGTAAGAGTCTTCTCATTTTTTTAACCCTGCACTTCTTGCCTTCTAGCCAGTTGGCTGGTACACCCTCTCAGCACCATGTTGCCATGCTTTTACAGCAGAAATCCCTCGAAGATTTTGCTTGGTTTTGCTCTTTTTTAAAGCCTGAACCTCTTCTAGAACTATAAATACATAAAAGGTATACCTAGGAGGATCTTCTGGAGGACAGGAAATTGATAATACTAGTTCTTCCAGAAAGCTGCTTACTCAATGGCAGTGCCACCAAAACATTATCAGAGTCCTTACTGATTGCTACAAAGAGCATTCATTCTCCTCTTTTTTTACAACACGGTAAAGTACAGTCTTCATGTAGTTCAACAATTACATAGACTAAAGCATTCACCCATGTAATAACAGAGACAAAAATGCTTATTCAAAGCACAGCTCCCTCCCAAGAAACGTCTGACAGCTACTGAGAAGGTTGGCAGAACACTGAGCCTTGATATCTCTCCAGATTCTAAATATTTATGTCATTACAGGATTATGTTGGTCAGTTAACTTTAAGTTAATCTATTACAATTTCTTCTTCTTAACTCTCAGAGAAAGGCAAGTTCTTTGCTACTTCCTTTTCCCGTCTGAAACTTTTTAGAGGTATTGCTTCCCATGGCAGTAAGCCTACTTCTCATCTCTGCTGCTGCTTAAGTGGGTTATCAATGACTCCACAACAGCCTTGCTGTGCTGCTTAAAGCAGTTCTGAAATACAGTGATTCCAACTAGCATGTTTCTCATTTTGCACTCCTCCTGCAGCCCTTAAAAAGCCTGCAAATCCCAACCGTAACTCTTCAATGCTTTACATTCAGTTCCCAATGATACTGTTTTTAGCTCTTACAGGGGCAATTATTTTAATTAAAGTTGAAACACAGCACTACTTCTCCCTATACTTGCCATATAAAACATTCTATTAATTGCTGGCCAACAGTCTGTTGTTTGTTTAGGTTTTTTTCCCAGGCCAAATTAGGCAGAAATTACAAAACAAAACCTTGAACAAGAAGTAAACCAAGATCTGTTCTGTTCTATTTCTAACACTCTGAATTTGAAAGCTGTGACACAGTCTTGGCCATCTTTGTTTAGATACTTCTTGTACATGGGTTTGGGTTTTTTTAATGGTGGAGAATAAAGCAAAAATAATAATAGGTAAAAGCACTCAAACTCACTACATATAGAAGAAAATGCTGAGTGAATAATGAAGTTTCTGTTTGAGAAGAAATTAGATTTAAAAGAAACTTATAAGAAACCTGTTAATACATCAAGTCATTCTTCCTAATGAATTAATCCAATGACAGAACACTCATTTGCATGCAGAAAACATAAATCATGTCAGTTGCTGCCCCTAGAATTTCCCTCCATGGAGCTGCTGTCCCTCTTTCCCCAGTGATACCAAGAGCAAGCTTCTCTCATTGCCAAGATGCAAACACACACATGCTGCTAAAACTCTGCTCTCATCTTCCTAGATCAATAAAAACTAACTTCTTATTTCATCTGTGCATGTTAAACATCAGAACCTAGTCCTAAACGAAATGCTAACAGTCTGGTGGAGGCAGATCTCATACTGCATGTCAACTCCACAAAAAAATATAGCCAGTTTCTGACATACAGTTCAAGCTCCATCTTTCACCCTTTGTAGTTTTTATTAATTCATTTGGTTCAACCACAGTATTCTCACCTCTCTTCTGTCCAGAGATTTACTTTCTGTTGTGCAGTCTGTGCAGTGTAGGAGAGCCTGTCACTGCCATGCTGATGCTGCCTTTCTGGAGATAGCTGCTGCCGCAGCAGCTCTAACTCACGTTCATACATCAGCCGCTGCTCCTCAAGAGCACTCCGCTTCTCTTCCAAGTACTGCTTTTCCAAAATCTGGACCACATTTTGTACTGGGTCTAAAAAGACACACACACACACACAAAAAAAAAAAGAGAGTGAGAAATAGAAAAGTGAGAAAGCGTCATTTCAGCATCACAGAGTACTCATTATTTACTTGCTAACAGCAATCAACATATCCCAGAGTCTTTGCAAACAAGATAGCCATTGCCCTCCAAAACAAAAGCCAAAATAATAAATATTGCATTAAAGAGACAAATCCAAAAAAGGAAAAAAAAAATGCAGCATGCAAAGAGGCTAGAACAATGGTTAAGACCCTCATCTTGCATAGTCAGTATTGTGAAGTTATAATATGATCCAGAATCCCAGTAGGAAAAAGAATAGAGGGAAAAGGGAACAAATTAATAAGAAGAAAACAAAGCAAAATACAAGGGAAGATGATGTTAAGCAGAGAAGGAAACGACTTAAGTAAAAAGCAATTTAACTTTCTCAATTTTGGAAGAGATTTAAACATGTTGGAGAACTGTGGATGAAAATTTAGACGAATTGTCTGACTAGTCACGCATCACATTGAGCCAATGCATTTCACAGCACTGAAGCAGACAAAGCACATCCTGGAGGGAATTTCTGCTTTTAGCTTTAGAAACCACATTTCATCACAGTATCAACCCAGTATCCAGTTGGATACTCTATCCTGAAACAACTGCTTGTGTCAATCAGCTAGGGTTAAATCTAAATTGCATTCAAATTAAAGAAACATTACTCTGTTTTTAGGTCCAGTGTCAGACTGTGTCTCTGAGAAAGCAATTTGATAGAATGAGCTGCTTCTATATACTACCAGTATATATATCTGCTTTATGTATCTGAAAGCTTAAATACAGCAAAAAAAGTGGTTTGCAAGAGGACCAGTCTAGATGAGTATCTGAGTAACAGCACATCTCCTAGCAGATTGCTGATTTTGTACATTGGAACGTGAAGGGAGAAGAGTTCCACAGTTGGAGCAATGGATTATTAAGGGAAGAAAGACTGCAGCTCTAGGACACCAGGATCTTCAAATGCAAAAAACCTTCAGCTTTAAAATAGTTGTTTGTGATAGCTCTTCCATTTTGCAAATACTAAAAAAGAACTCCTGTGACTTTTAAGGATGCCACAAACGAGGGAGAAAAAATACATCTAGGCTTAATTACACTGTCCTACTTTGGATCTAGAGGTGTGTGCTCAAAAAAGCTCCCCACCTCTCCCCTCCTCCCCAAAAAAAATCCAACTCAACCAACAACAGCACAAACCCACATCAGTGTGTTTTAATTATGAACTATCTTGCCTTCATTACCAGAACTCAGTCCTTGTAAGATTTTGTACAAGTTCTCCTGATACTACAATGTTACATGAAACAAAAACTGGGTTACTGTAGCATGCAATAGAGGGTTCACACTAAAGGTTCTGTACAGTTTTCATCACTAATAGTGTATGCTGGTCACTGAAACACATACAATACCCCCTCCCAAAACCCACATCTCCTGTGGGTTTGCAAACCTGTGTCTTTGCAAACCAATGTAGCATTAGTATATTTAGTAATTTGTAACAACCGAGTACTAAAACTACTAATTTTGCTAAAGACAAACTAACTCATTGTCTGCAATTTTAACATACATGGCTTTTAACATACAAGTCACTTCATGAAACAAATCCTTCCTATTATAAATGCCGGAGAAGCAAACAGTATCTCCAGGGTTCTGTTATTACAGTGGGTTTGGTTTTGCCTCTCAGCATCCTTTTTTTAAATATTAAGATTAATTTTTAGGAGAAAACTAACACTTCTGCAAAAGCTGCTACTTCGGCCCTAGATTTATCGTAAAATATCACTACAATAGTAATTATAAAGCACAAGTTTAAAATCAGTCAGTACAAATGGCAACCAAATAGCAAAACAATGATGCATAGAAGTGTCTTAAAATAACTAGAAATATTACATTTTAGTACATGACATTCTCAGAAAGACAGTTAGCTATTTTTAGCTTTTAAACAGACAGTGCAGCAAAAACAACTGACTGAACCAAGTTCTAATATTCTAGACTACAAACCAAGCTATTAATGTTGAACTGCACCATCATTATCTTCCTAACTCCTCCAGGTAATACCAGAATTACCTTCACATGCATAGGTTTTACTGCATAATCCCCAAAAGAGTTTTAGTTATGTGCAAGAATGGCTGAGAAATCAGGTATTACGCAGAAGACACACAAGAGGCATGGAAGAAATTAAAAGCCTTCTATTGTGTTTGCAAACACAGGAAATGAAACTAAGGCTGACTCATTAGGATGAGACTTTCCTAAACTGCTCAAACACCAGCTCCAAGTTCAGAGAGCAGATATCCTTAATAAATGTGATCTCTTCAGCAACCTAGATTTACAGGAACACAACCCCCACAGCATCAAATTATACCATGGAAAATATTCTGAACAAGGTGCAAGAACCTAGTCTAAAACTTCCCAATTTCAATGAAATCCACTA